CTTCATTAGGGTTTTCATTTACCGTGCCACCACAGCACCTCCACCCCGGACTCCTCCCATCACAGGTTCACACCCAGGGCCACCTCATATACCATTTACCCACCACATGTATCCATTTCTAGGGGTGCCCAGGTAGCACCCCGTGGCAAGACTTGCCCCCGGCTCGTCGTATATTCCAACTTGGTCGACACAACCCTCACCCTCCATGCACCCAAGTCACACACGCAGCACTCTCCCCGTAGTCCAGATAACACCAGTTTCCACCACGCATCAATGTAGTACAAGCGTAGTAGAAGTAATAAGCAATAAAATATAGCAGCAAGCGTGTGTCTAGTCTAATAGCAGGGTAAGCAGGGGTAAGGTTGCGTCAAGGTAAAGGCCATCAAGTAAGCATACTACCATGCAAGTCCTATCATAGTGTGAATATAACAATAAAGTAAAGCAATAGCAGTTCTATATTAGCCATGCGTAATAGGTGCTTCGAGGTTGGGTGGGATGTGGCACCTTCAGTGAAGTCGTCTCCGTACTCCTCACGGTACTCTCGGTCCTCATCCGTCTGGTTCTCCTCCGAGTCTGCATACGATCAAATTATAGTTGCGTTAGCGACGCCTATAGAATAGCACAAAGAGACAATGAAAATTCAAAAGAGCTAAATACACTCAAATATGGGTTCATTCCGTAGAGCTCGATTTTAGATGAATTTTGGTCCTGGTCTTGAATTTTTCTGAGGTCGTATGAATTAGTTATGAATTTCCGAAGATTAAATCCATTTATGAAAATAATGAAGGCTGATTGATTTAGGGCTGACACGTGTCACACTGTGACTGGTTCACATGGCATGTAGGGGCTTGGAGTGGGGTATCGGCTGGTGAGGTGGTCGGAGAGGTCGCCGAGGTGGTCGAAAAGATCACCGAGGTGGTCGGAGAGGTCGCCGAAGTGGTCGGAAAGATCGCCGAAGTGGTCGGAGAGATCGCCGAGGTCCCCGACGCTGGCGTGGTCTCATCTTCGGCATGACGTCAGGATGGCGTCATCAGAGCTAAACTACGGCTGACAGGTGGGTCCCGGTCAACGGTGACTGACAGGTGAGGCGCGATTCATGGTGAACCCACCTGCGTTGGTCCATAGACCGCAGAGCCGGTCTATGAAGGACTTGGTCCACTTACTCCTTCCCAGGGTTCGATTCATGTGCACCAAGTGCACGGACGTGTGGCCGACGAGGGGAAAATCCCCATCTTCTTCCCCGGCGTGCTCCCGCCGGTGGTGAGCTCACCGACGAGCCCCTCCAGCGGCGCGGGTGTGCAATTAAGGTGGGCAAAAGCTTGGCCTTGCCATGGCGGGTGCCCTGGTGAAGTTAACGTGGTGGCCGGGCAGCTCCAGTTGGCTGGCCGCGGTGGCGGCGGTCCTCGTACACCGGCGAGCGGCGGTATGGTGGCTGTGGCGGCGGTACCGGAGATTGGTGGTGCGCACGAGCTCCCCGACGCTGCTACGGCCATGGCGAGCAGGTCGAAGGGGCTCCGGGAGCTCTCAACGCCTTCGGCCACGGTGGTGGGGGCAAAGCGGAGGCAGTGGCGCTCCGACGAGGTGCGGTGCGGCAACGCAGGGCTCCGATGGGCTTCATCCTCGGCTAAGGTGAGCGCGGTGTGTCTTTCGTCATGGCGGAGCCAGTCAGGGTGTCAACTTGCCTTTACCGTGACGTAGAAGACGCGGTGGTCTCGCCATGGTTTTGCTCTCGGCCATGGCGTGCAGGGTGGTCGAGCCGGTGTTCCCGAGCCGTTAGGGGTCGGCGAGGCCAGGCCTTGGGCTTGTGCGTGTGTAGCGTGTCTAGGAGCGGGAATGCTCCGCCTCTGTGTTCCCCAGGTGTGGGAACGCGGTGGCGTTCATGGCGAGTACGACTAGCGTGGTGAACGGCGAACGACGTGGCTCGCCGTAGGGCTCGTGGCGGTAGGATGGCGGTGCGGTGGCGAGGCGAGGCCGTGATGAGGCGATGCAGTGCCGTGCCGAGCAGCTACGTCGCTGTAGCTGATCGGGGCGGCGCTCCTGGCTCCGACGAGGTCCGGTTCCGCAGCGGCTTCCTTCTCCTCCTTGCTTCTTCCTCCTCCCTCTCTCTCGGCTTAACGCGGTGTGGTGCTGTGCCACCAGCGGCGGCGGCGAACGGGCTGAGGGTTAGGGCTCGCGGGCGTTGGCTTTTATAGCCGAGCTCCAAGGGCTCTAATGGCGGACGGCGATCGGGCGGTGGTGATGCGTGCGGCGCATCCGACGGCCCACGTGCGGTAGCGTAGGCGCGACGCAAGGGGAACAGGGTCATGCTTCTTGCGTGACCCCCTGGCCCGCGCTTGCCACGCTGGTCGGTCCCCGGTCGCGCGGGGAGAACGCGTGGGCGAGAGAAAGAAGACGCTATTGTGCTGACAAGCGGGGTCGGGTCGTCAGGCGCTTGGCGCGTTGTGGCTGCGTGCGGCGCGTGATGGCTGCCGAGCGGACCCGGCTTGTCAGCGGCTGTGCGCGTGCAGGCGGCGACGCTGGGTCGGCTTCGTGGGCTATGCGCGTGAAAGGGCAGGCGAGGCTTGGCTAGGCTAGCTGGGCCGGTCGAGGCAGGCTGGCTCGCAAGGCCAAGCAGGCCTAGGCTGCTGCTTCTCCCTCTTTTTTCTTTTCTTTTTCTGTTCGTTTTTCTTTTCTTTCTTTTGCTTCGATTCAAATTTAGTTAGCGTTTAAACTTGAGGTTCGAGTTATGTAGTGGGTCCCACAAGGTGTTTCAAATGGTGGTCAAAATACATCCCATATATTAGGGATTATTGGGTAAAAATAGTTGAAGTTTTTATATATGGGTGTTTTATTTTTCCAACAAATAATTAATTATTTAGGGTTTATCATAAATATTAAGTAAGTTAGTTAAACATCACATAAGGCAAAAGAATCCAAATCACAAGTGGAATTAAGGATGTATGCATGATTTATTTATTTAGGAATTTAATTACACATGTGGCATAAAACCAAGCTATGCTTATGATTTTAACTTAGTTGGGTCACATCTAATCCAAAACTAGGGTTTAGCTCCTATACGTGTCACTCAACATCACATAAGATTTAAATAAAAAATTTTGTAGTTATGATTTTTAGTGTATAGATTTTTGGGTTGTTACACCTGCTATGGGCGAGGATCATTGTGTTGTATGGCCGTGTCACCTGTAAGGTGCTTTTGCCAAACGTGTTTGACCGGTCTGAAATCTAATAAATCTAGGACACGTTCCACTGCAACCCACAACGCTGCCACGCACAGTGTGACGGCGCCTAAAATATGGCATCAGAAATTAGCGCCATAGCCATGGCGTGTTTTCGACTAGAAAAGTCTGATGCTGCCATATTTGGAAGCTAAACCAAGCATCAACCTATTTAGGCCGAAAAAGCGTGTCGAGAAGCCAAACACTCCCCTACTCCATCCACTCAAAATAATTAAATAACACGCTTTTGAAATTAGACTATTTTAATTTGACGTATCAAATATATATAACAAATTTATTGTAAAAATATATTTTATGATTAATGAAATGTACTTATTATGCATCATAAAAAATACTAGTTCCATTTTATATAGACCAAATCAAACTTTTTTTATTAAAAGAAAACTTCTCAAAGAAAGCCCCGTGTGTTCCCTTTAGATTACATGGGATCATTGAGCTAGCTAGAACTAGAACCGCTGCCACCTGCTCAGCCGCCACCATCATTAGTTATGCCGGACCTCAAGTACAAAAGCGTTCACGTAAACACTTGATCAAATAATTAGATCTAACATAAGATCCCGCCACCCCCAAGGACATCTCAAAAGAATCACAGGTTGGTTACGGACCTGCAATGATTTAGCAAGCTCTGTAACACAAACATAGTACACTTTTGCACTGTTCGCTAGCAGATAAGGCATGGCCGAAAGTACTGTTGCCTGATTTATTGTGAAGAAAAATATTATTCATTGACTGAAAAAAGTACAGCTTATAACTCAAGCGAACATGACGTTTATTTTTTCCTCACACTGTTTGAAGAAAAAAGATACAACAATCCTGTGAGTAATAAAAAGAAACACTCCTGTGTGAACAGTGTAAGCATCAACAAAAGTGATTTTCCAAATACTGCTCGTTTGGTAGTGAACTTTAAATCGTAACGATCATAAATTTTCAACCGTAAACGATATTTTCTCTCACAAAACATACATACAGACCGTAACTCTTCGCGAACCAAATGCAGCGAAACGAACCGCCCAGTGGAACCACCACCTCCGCCCCAGACATTTTCGCTCGATAGTCGAGACAGCGCAGCTGACATCACCAGCCCACCACCAAACAGTGGCGCAAATCGCATGCCCCGAGATTTGATTCTTCTTCACAGGTCCTAAAGTCCACGGTGACTCTCTGCTCAGCCCATCGCCACGGGGAACACCGGAACAGCACGGATGGCAGGCAGAAAGCCAGAAACCGCAACAGCAAGCAAAACAGCCGCCGCACCAGCGCACGCACACGAACGCACCCACGACCCACCTGCGGCGCTGGAAGTGGATGTGGACGGAGGCCAGAGGGAGCCCGCCCGCACGACAGAGAGCACAGGCGGCCGCGCCCGCTCCTACCACCGCACCGCACCGCCACTTACCCCTCGTGCCGCCGCGCTGCCTTTTCCTCCCCGCGTCCCTTTCGTCCCGCACCTTGTCGGAGACCGACGCGCCCCCCCTCTCCGCTCCTCCTCCTCCTCCCCTCCCGCTCTCCAGTCCACCTCACGCTCACACTCCCTCAGCCGCCATCCTGGTGCCTTCCCTCCTCCTCATCTTCCTTGCGGGGGCGGCAACCAGGCCAGGCGGCAGACTGACGCGGCGCACCTGCTCCGACTCCGACTCCCGCTCCCTCCGCGCCACCAAAATAAAGTAGCCGTTGCGGCGTCGCGTCGGCGAGCACAGCGCAGCGCAGCGGCTGCATGAGGGGGCGGCTGCCGAGGCCGTGACCGTGACGAGGAGGCGGAGGACGATGCCGCTGGTCAGGTTCGAGGTGCGGAATGAGGTGGGGCTGGGAGACCCCGGCCTCTACGGCGGCGGAGCCGCTGCTGCCGGGGCCGCCTCCGCCTCCTCCGCCGTCTCAGCCGCGGGGGAGGAGGAGCCCAAGGCGCTGCTCGAGGGCGTCGCCGTCGCGGGTCTCGTCGGGATCCTGCGCCAGCTCGGAGATCTCGCGGAGTAAGGCCCTGCTCCCTCGCTGCCTCGTTCTGCCCGGTTTATGCGCGCTTCGAGCTGGCGGCCGTGCGCGTCTCTTCGTGGTCTGGTTCCCGGCGGCTGGGATCTGCTGCGCTACGTTTCTATCGGCTCCCGGCGGGGACTTCGGCGCTGGTTGGGGTGTTTGGTCTCGGCCTGTGGTTTGGACTGGACTGGGATGAAGTAGTGGGATCTGCCGTTCAGGTGGTTTGATTCGCTTAGGGCGAATGAGCGCAGTGCTGTGCCATAGGAATTGGAATTGTTCGAGCAGTGTTTCTGTGTGCCGGCTATCGAAAATTGTGGCACTGTCTGGAAGGAATTGAGCGTCCTTTTGTAGCAGCGGCGGTGTTCGGGTTCTGTGCTTTCTGAGATCTAGTGTTAGCACTGGATTGGATAGTGCAATTCAGGTTTTTGGAGCGGCATATGGGATAACAGCTATATCTGCTGGGATCATTCAGGCGGTTTTTGGCCGCATTCGCTTGGTAGTGGCTCGTGCTTTGCTGAATTAGTGCTAATTGATTGTGTGTGTCGGGTATGACGTCTAGGTCTTAGGTAAGATCTTGTCTTAGCTTAGAATTTATGTTTGCGGAAAGTCTCTTTTTAATCTTATATGAGCAACTAGTTAGTTCTGAAAGGCCTGTTTTAGGTTGCTTAGTGGCTGACTGGATTCATTTTGGCTGGCTTGATGTTGTTTAATGTTTGTCTCGAGGGTTCTTTGCTAATTTTGGCTGGAGAATCTCCATGGGTTCTGGTAATTGCCGTTTCTTGCTAGGGAAAAACCATTGCCACTCTGAGGCGTTTGTTTGTCTGTTAATGCTTCTATCATTTTTCCCGTTGTATAAATGCTCTACACAGTTTTAGTTACGTACCGTGTTTCTTGATATACTAATATTTTTTTTCATAAATAGTATTTGGTGAAATTGATGTGCTGCTTTGGTCATACCAGATTTGCGGCTGATGTTTTCCATGATCTACACGAGCAAGTTATAGCTACATCTGCCAGGGGTCGTAAGGTGCTGACTCGAGTACAGAACATTGAAGCAGCACTTCCATCTCTTGAAAAAGCTGTGAAGAATCAGAAGAGTCACATACATTTTGCCTATGTTCCGGTAATTATTTATTTACTTCATCGATGTCTAAAAGTACCCTGATCATGAGAGTCCATCCTAGTAATTGAATGTCTCTCTTGTCCATCTTGAATTCTTTGATATCAAGATTATCTTGCAATCTTACTGACTTTACTGATAAAACACAGGCTCTGATTGGCACACTCAGCTTCAAAATGAGCAAAATCACCTGCTAGAGAGTGATCTGCCTCGTTTTATGATGGATTCCTATGAAGAATGCCGAGATCCACCACGGCTTTACCTTCTTGATAAGTAAGTGCTGGAACTTTCCTTAATAAACATTTTTTGGTATCTAAAATTACTGCCTTCCAGATTTGATACTGCTGGCGCGGGGGCTTGTGTAAAGAGATATTCTGATCCATCCTATTTCAAGAAAGCATGGGATATGACGAGAGCAGACAAAACTGCTAATCTACAAAGAGAAAAGAGATCGCAGAAAATTAAGGTTATATTCTTCATTCTCACTGTCTGAAGTTGATATCAGTGCTTAGTAATCTTTTTTCATGTTGGGAACTTGCCAAAAGACTTAATAGAGCTTATGAACTTATACAGAGAAAAGGGTCACGACTAAGGGAGCCATATCATGGGCAAGCCACATCTAGGCATAGGGGCACTGAATTTCAGCGATCACTTACTGCTGGCCAACTTGTTAACAGGTGTTGCACATTCCATACTTTAAGATACAATAATCGTGTATCCAGTTCATCTTCTATGGCTATTCCCTTCTTATATTTGAATGGCGCATCCAGAACATCATTGTTAATAGTTTATTTTCCAGCAGGCAGTTTGCATCTCCCAGCAACGATGGTCAGAACATCTCAGAGCATAGGTCTACACCCGACGCAAGATCTAATCCTGACAATATGAGCAGATCTTCTTCTCTTAGTTCGAAGACACAACTGAGTTCAGTAGAACAAGCTTTCGATGCAAAACCTTCTGCAGTTCCTCATGAGAATGGCCATGGCAAGTCATTGGATACTAAATTGCACAAACCTGGTGGTCTGCCTTCGCGCATACTACTTAACGGCACCAGCGTGGATGATCATAGTGACTATTTGAAGCAAGGTTCCCCGCCAGGTGATATGGTTGCTAGATCACCTTATGTTAAATGGGATGAAAAGGCTGCAATTATCATGTCTACAAGTTCTGTCTACTGTGACGATGTTGTTGTGGATAAGGCTGAAGATGCAGAACCTACATGTATTAGCTCTGTGTTGAAAGAAACTGGCCACAAGGTAATGGATGCCTTGGAGCAGCAAGATGCCTTACTTAAAAGACAAAATCACTGTTAGTGCCATCAGTCTTGAACCACCATGGTGACATTCCAGGAGAAGCCGACAACTACATGGATGCACTTAATACACTTGAATCTGAGACAGAAACTGAATCTGAATTTCAAACTAAGAATCAAGGGGTGCCAGCACCTTCCTTCAACGCTGAAGCACCTCAAGTGGGGGCAATTGATAATATTGTTCCACAGTGTCCCGATTCCTATGTTGCTGAGTTTACTGACACATGCCAAGAATCTGATATTCTTTGTACTTCAGAAAGAGCAATTGATTTTCCCAGTTTGTCAAATGCACATTCTCTTGAGGTCTCACAACTAGAAGTTTCAGACTATACATCTGTAAGTCCCTATAAAGAGTCATCTGTCGTCACTAATATCCATGAGAGTGGTGCAGAGGGTGCTCATGGGAGATCCTTGTGAGATTATAGAGCCTCTGCAGGTCCATTCAGCCATACTTCCCAATGCTGGATCCCCTGTTTGCAATGAAATACCCAAGAGTAAGCCAGACGATGATCTTGGGTACTTTCCCGAGATTCCTCAACCAGGTTTCTCCACCTGTATGGTTATTCCGTCCAATAAAGAGTCTGCTGTTGCCAACGAAAACCTTGAAAGTGATGCAGAAAGTGTTGGTGATCTTATCGATGGTACCACAGATAATTTTGTATCCGGACCTAACATTGCCAACATGGTAGTTGATGAGGTGGGTTTCAAGATGGCACCTGGTGATCACTCTGATGACTCATGTGTTATTCCTGAAAGCAGGCCTCAGGATTATGCTGGAAAGAGCCATGAGGGAGTTGGTGATTGTGGTGTGATTGGAGTGTCTGAATTATGTAGTGAGCCTCTTAACAAACCATCAGATAATATATGTGCAACTCAAGATGTTCCTACAAATACCTCTACTATGTCTGCTGGTGCCAGTGAAGTGTCTAGTTCATGGAGTGAGCCTCTTAATGAACTAATGGAGAACAGATGTGCAACTCAAGGTGTTCCTGCAAATGCCTCTACCACGTCTACTGTTGTACCATCTGTTAAACTCTGGACAAATGCTGGGCTCTTTGGACTTGAACCATCTAAACCTCCAGTATTTGGTGCCCAAGATGGTCCAAGGGAGGATACTCCACCTGGTTTTAAAGAAGCTCAACCGGTCCATTCCACTGAATTCACAGAATTGCACTGTTCAAAGCCAACTGAATCAGCAGTTGTAGATGTTCCAAATGGAAACACGTCAATTACCAGCAGCTTTGTGGAAAATCTTGTTGGTATCCGTCCTGGTTCTGCAAACCTCAATAACTCAGGGGCCAATCAATCAGCAGCCAGAATACCCGATCCAATTCATAGTCATACAGATGGGCACTCAGATTTTTCCTCATCCTTTGAGCACAATAACATGACTGGCAAGCATACTTCAATAAGTGAGCTTCTAGAATCTGAAGGAAGTGCTGAAACTGGCACCGGAATATACTCAACTGACATGAGTAATAACATGCATATGGTGTCTGCATCAAGCTTTTCAAGCATTGCACAAAGATTTCTTGCTAATACACTTCAGAGAAGAACTTCTTCCAAATATACTGATCTTCCTATGTCATCTGAGAGGGCGAATGCTGATACAAGTGCAAAAGATGAATCTACTCTAAATCCTGTTGTAGAACCAAGTGAAACGATATTTGCAGAGGAAACTAAGTTTGAGAACAAAACAGAAAATGGAATGGATGGATTGACCAAATCATCAATCTTTTCTAGCCGCCATTACTCTGAGAAATCGTCTCCACCACTTGAGTACATGAAAATATCTTTTCACCCTATGAGTGCACTTGAGACGTCAAAGCTGAACCTAGATTTCTGTGATGGCAATCTTCATGAAATTTCTAATGATATTATGTTACCGACATTTCAGTTACTTTCAGAGTCTTCCATTCCACAGCCAGGCAGCGGTTCTGAGTCTGAAGATGACACTTTTGGTAGGTCATATAGTTATTCTTCATATGATGATCTGAGTCCACGACTATATTCAAACTCTGAGGCGTGGGATCAAGAAGATGGAGTTGGGCTGGAGGAACATGAGTTGTATGATGATTCAAATCAGATAGGATCCTCAACAGCACCTTTATCTAGCTACATGGGATTCGAGCAGATGAACTTATCTGGCATGAAGTCAGATATTTCACTTGCAAATGTTGGGGATCAGAATGTAATAGGCACTTTAGAATCCTGTACTGTTGAAGAACTTCCAAACTTTGACACATTGATGTCCAGAAGCGATGATCAAAATGGTGAAACCTCCATTCCACATAATCCGGTGAATTTGCCACCAGATGAAGATCAGTTGCCACCACCACCTCCTCTCCCCCCAATGCAGTGGAGGATGACAAGACAAACAACTTCACTAGAAGAGGAAACATGCATTACAGCTAAAGATATGCTCAGGAAAACTTCAAGCCTACCACATATACACACCTCTGCCCAGGAAGAACACCTTCCTCCAACTGCACCACTGGATCTACAAGGCAATGCTAAGGAAGTGGTATGGACTGTTTATTTGGCTGATCCTGTTTGAATACTTGCAGTAATAAATAATTACTGCTGTTATATTTCGTTAATGAAATTATCTACTTGGTATATGTAGGATGTCCAGAAAACTGGTGGAGTAAGAGAAATTACTAATCCTCCTAGTATCATTGATATAAAATCAAGTTTGCTTCAGCAGATCAGGGATAAGGTTTGTTCTGCTCTTTCAATTGAAAAAAACCTATGTTATTCTTTATGATTTTATAGTGCTATTTTCAAAGTTCAGCTAGGCGCTAGGCGGAATCTAGGCGCTGACCCATTGCCTAGCGCCTAGTCGGGAGTACTCGGTCCTAGGCGCTCCTAGGCGTTTGCCTAGGCGTTTTGGCAACGGAGCTCTCCTCTGCTCCAAGAGAAAGCAGAGCAGAGCAGAGGGCCGCACCTGGTTCCCCGAGCGAAGCAGAGCAGGGGGCGGCGAGCAGAGCAGAGGGCCGCGCTTGGTTCCCTGAGCGAAGCTGAGCAGGGGCGGCGAGCAGAGCAGAGGGCCGCGAGCAGGGGCGGCGAGGCAGAGCAGAGGGCCGCGCCTGGTTCCCCGAGTGAAGCAGAGCAGGGGCGGCTTCAACCAGAGGGCCGCGCCCGGCGTGGTGAGGGGCAGCAAGCGGCAGCCAGGGGAGGTGCGGTGTCCACCGGAGGCCGTGGCCAGCCAGAGCGGGCACATGCGCATGCGCGGCCGCCCGACGGCTGAGGCTGGCGCACGCGCGGCTGCGCCCGACGGCTGCGGCTGGGCAGTGGTCGCGACGGCCGCCTAGCTCTGCCTAGCGCCGTGATGCGCGACTATGCCCCTAGTCGCGGCGACGGGCTTCGCCCAGCGACTAGGCGCGCGTAATCGCCGCCTAGCCGAACTTTGGCTATTTTACTTTTACTATAAAAAAGTACTCCATCTGTTTCAAATTATAAGATGTTTTGGCTTTTCTAGATTCATTGATTTTAGAATGTATCTAGACATAAGTATATATCTAGATGGCTAGAAATGCCAAAACGCCTTATAATTTGGAACGAAGGGAGTAGCTTACAAGAAACAAATGTGGACCATCTTTGGATCTGAGAGATCTCACTTTTTTTTTTATAAAAGTATATTCATATAGCTGTTGAATTGACCCAAAAGGATAACAAAATGGAATGCTTACCGTGAATTTGATGAACTGTGATTCAAAAAAGCTATCTGACCCACAACACTGTTTGTCACATGTTAACCATGCAGTACAGAATTCCTGTGGCCATTTATTTTGTCAACTAAAACAAATACAAGTCCCAGTAATGACCAGTTGATTCTTGAAGTTAGGAAGCTCATTACCAATTTATAGTTTCTGATCGTTGCATAATATTTATGATTATCTTATTCATTTTGCCTAATGAATTATCACAGTCAGAGCAGCTGAAGCTTAACAATGGACATGAAAGGTCAAAAAAAGCAGTAGGCGGTGACATTAAAAGCTTGGATGAAAGGGAGGACTTGCTTCAGCAAATCAGGAGCAAGGTACCTTGAATATGTAGATCGTTGTACTTGCTAACAGTTTGTTGAACTCTGTACCTCGAAATTTCTAGATTCTTGTTCATTCTTGTTTGGCTGTTGGCATGATGTGATGCTCACCATATTTAAGAGCAGAAACCCTCCGTGTAAGGCTTAACCAACTGGTCACTATGTTTGTGTCATGCAGACCTTCAATTTAAGACGAACAAATGCATCTAAGACAGATGGCTCATCACAATCTACAGCCAATTCCAACGTTGTAGCAATTTTGGAGAAAGCAAATGCTATCCGGCAGGTTGGTATGGTGCTGATTTCCCGTCATGTTACCTTTTGGGCTACTCTTTTGTTTCCTCATGATTTGTTCCGTGTTATCAGGCTGTGGCCAGTGATGAGGGTGGCGATGATGATACTTGGAGTGATATATGACCACCAAACTGCAGACGTGCATGGTAGTCTTTTCCTGTATATTCAGCTATTACAAGATGAAGTGAGAAAATGTGAATAACATCTTTTTCTTCATTGTAATTAGATTTTGCAGGTCTCGTTCTGTACCTTCCTTAGTTCATATTAGTGTATTCTACCGTAGGTCTCTATGGTTGTGGAAATGTCAGAGCATTTCCACATCATGTAAATGTGTCTTTATTATTTATTTATGATAGTGAGAACAGCTGATAAAATAAGCATACTAAGCTATCTTTTTATCATTGTATTAATTTTTTTACAATGATAATAAGATGGACCATGATGTTGCAAAAAGTTGTCCTTTTAACTGCCATCAACGAGGGCAATAATTCTGAAGCGATAAGTCTCATTTGCATTACCCTGGCAACTCATTTGCATTACCCTGCCAACTCATGTTTTCCTTTTAGTTCGCCGTACGTACTTCTTCCCATGTCCCGTTCGGACACGACGCGACGCACCATAGCCTCCCTCCATCTCGCGCCCTTGACCCCTCTTCGTGGGTCTCCCCTTGCGGTGGAGGCTGACCCTAGCACGGCCCACCGTTCAGAGGCTGTCCACGGCGGCAGCGACAAAGGCGGCGGGCGAGATTACCGGGCCTGCAGCCACCGCCAGCGGCGTCGAGGAGCGCCGGCCCATCGACGCCCAGCTCCGGCAGCTTGCGCCGGACCCGGAGACGAAGGTGTCCTCCGCGGACGACCGCCTGGCGGACTACGAGACGCTCCTCGTCGCGCGCCTCTTGGACATCCTGCAGGGCCTGCACGGCAGCGACTTCAGACAAGTGGTACGTATACGTACAGTACACAAATGCCAACGAGACGACGTCCTCCTCCCAGGCTCCCACTCTCTTGTGTTCACGGCCACGAGATGGCCCGCGGTGTGCGTACGAGGAGTGCCTGCGGCTGTCCGGCGAGTACCACTGCGACGGTCGCGGTCGCCCACGTCCAGGCTCGTCAGGAGCGCGCCCAGCTCACCCAGCCGCGCCGGGTCGCGGTGGTACTCGCCGGACAGCCTCAGGCTTCCTACGCGCACCGCGGGCCATCTCGTGGCCGTCAACACAAGAGAGTGGGAGCCTGGGAGGAGGACGTCACAGTCGTTCGGATGACGACCTGGCCTGGGAAGTCGATCCAGCCCCAGGCGCTAGAAATCGACGGCCTGGGTGAAGGATTCCAGCCTTCAAAGCAAACAGCCCCAATCTGTTGCGTGCACAACACACTTCTCTTTTTACTGTTTTGAACTAGGGACTCCTCGAATCGCGCATCGCCACATTTTCATACCGCGCCGCATTAGGTTGCCTTCTAGGGTTTCTTTAGTCCGCATCTCCAGCCTATCCCGCTTGTGCATCGTCAGGCATGAGAGGGGGTGCTAAGAGGTTGAAAAAAGTACAGTCAAGGTCCGGCGAATCGGCTAGAAGTAGGGATTTTTGTCAGCTCGATGGCACCGGCTTGCGCCCAATTCCAGAGGACGACGAGGTGTGTTATCTTTTTTTTTTCATACCAATTTCTTCTCGATCGACCTAGTCCATACCATGCATATCACACCTATGGACATAGCGTGATTTTGCAATCTGTTGATTGATATTGGGGTGGGGTGGGGTTTGGGGGGTGGGTATGGATGAAAATGGTACGGATATTTATTCGACCGTCCGTTCGACCGAACAAATATGAACACTTATCTGGATAGTAACTCGGATATCCGTAATTTTTTTCGGATACGGATATCTTAGGCGGATATCAAATACGGATGTAATATCATCGATATCCGGCGGATATCGGATAATCCGGTTAAGTATCGGATATATCCGGATATTTAAAAACGGATATTATCCGGATATTATTCAAACGACCTTGGATGGAGAAATGATCAAAATAAAAATTGTAGATCTCAAAAAGTTATGAAACTTTGTTGTTTACAACTTTTTCGTTTGAAATCATTTAGTGCTTCAAAATTTAAACCGTCCAAACTTTCTCAAATGGAAAACTAGTTTATAGGCGTCAAAATTTAAAAATCACAAATTTGAACCATCCAAACTATCTTAAATGGAAAGTTGACCAAAACAACAATTGTAGATCTTGATGAGTTGAACAAACTTGGTATTCAAAACTTTTCAATTTGAAGTCATTTAGAGTTCATAATACTAGAGTCAAATTGTTGTTTTTTCATTTGACCAAATTTGTCTTGGTCAAACTTGCTCAAATGAGACACTAAATGACCTCAGATGAAAAAACTCTGAATACCAAGTTTGATCATCTCAGCAAGATCTACAATTGTTACATAGCTCATTTTCCTATTTGAGAAAGTTTTATCAAACACTAGTCACAAATTCTTGAATCTCATATAGACTTTCTGAAACTATGTCACACACTTATGAAATTTGAACTATATTTTATTCAAACTTTCTCAAATGAAAAAATGGCCTATATAAGGATTGTAGATCTTGATGAGATGAACAAATTTGGTATTCAAAACTTTTCAATTTGAGACAATCTAGGGTTCCGAAAACTAGTTTGTAAACGTCGAAATTTAAAAATCACAAATTTGAACCGTCCAAACTATCTCAAATGGAAAGTTGACCAAAATAACAATTGTAGATCTTGATGAGTTGAACAAACTTGGTATTCAAAACTTTTCAATTTGAAGTCATTTAGAGTTCATAATACTAGAGTCAAAGTGTTATTTTTTCATTTGACCAAATTTGACTTGGTCAAACTTACTCAAATGAGACACTAAATGACCTCAGATGAAAAAACTCTGAATACCAAGTTTGATCATCTCAGCAAGATATACAATTGTTACATAGCTCATTTTCCCATTTGAGAAAGTTTTATCAAACACTAGTCACAAATTCTTGAATCTCATATAGACTTTCTGAAACTATGTCACACACTTGTGAAATTTGAACTACATTTTGTTCAAACTTTCTCAAATGAAAAATAGCCTATATAAGGATTGTAGATCTTGATGAGATGAACAAACTTGGTATTCAAAACTTTTCAATTTGAGACAATCTAGGGTTCCGAAAACTAGTTTGTAAGCATCGAAATTTAAAAATCACAAATTTGAACCGTCCAAACTATCTCAAATGGAAAGTTGACCAAAACAAGAATTGTAGATCTTGATGAGTTGAACAAACTTGGTATTCAAAACTTTTTAATTTGAAGTCATTTAGAGTTCATAATACTAGAGTCAAAGTGTTGTTTTTTCATTTGACCAAATTTGACTTGGTCAAACTTGCTCAAATGAGACACTAAATGACCTCAGATGAAAAAACTCTGAATACCAAGTTTGATCATCTCAGCAAGATCTACAATTGTTACATAGCTCATTTTCCCATTTGAGAAAGTTTTATCAAACACTAGTCACAAATTCTTGAATCTCATACAGACTTTCTAAAACTATGTCACACACTTGTGAAATTTGAACTACATTTTGTTCAAACTTTCTCAAATGAAAAAATAGCCTATATAAGGATTGTAGATCTTGAATCCATGACCATGACTCCATGAGACCCATGAAGCTATGAGCTTGGCTATTTTTACTCATGCCGCGAAGATTGATGCTTGTATGATGTTTGATGTATGATGTATCTGTATCTTTATCTTATTTGTTGCTTTACTCTTTAGTCTTTCGGCTTAATCTAGATGGATTATGGACTCATAGAGTGGTGTAATGGTTTGCGCACGTATGATATATATATATATATATATGCTGCTTTTACTCAATATCCGAATAGATATTTGTATCCGACCTTCTCCGAATCCGATTCATACCGTATTCGATACTCATTATTCGTATCCGTAACCGAGTCAATCCGTATTCGTATATGTATCCGAACGCTATCCGTGTCCGAATCCGAATTCAAACTAAAATATGAAAACAAATATAATATGAGTGATATCCGTTCGTATCCGATCCGTTTTCATCCCTAGGGGTGGGGCTTGGCGGCGGCAGAAACAGCAGGCCGGTGGTGGTTGGGTTGCGCTTCATTTTTGCCGTTCGGAGGAGCTAACGAGTTTAGTACGATCTCCGGCTGCTTGGGATTTTTTTTTGTTTGTTCGACCGACGGATTGTGCCTACCCTGCTGCTTTACTCAGCTTATATAAAATTTAGGTAGTGTGCTCTGCAAAGACTTCTTATGGATTTCTCTTTAAGACCAATTTGTTGGCCCTGGATCTCCAGCACGGGTGTGTCGACCGTTCACCATCGTGGCCGACTGGTCACTATGGCTAGATGTAGAAGAAGGGAGGGAGAACAGAGCGCACACACACAGCACAAGCACCAGCGTTGACCGGAGCTCTTCAGAGGAGATGGCAAAATTGAACTCGCTTTTTTTACTAAGTTACACTGGAAAACTATAAATATAACTCTACCCAACTAATTCTAATACACAGACATGTCAGTTTCCATGCTGCTACAGTGACTAGATGTGACAGCAGATCTGACTTTGGCGTCTGTCCCTACTATGGCTACAGTGTGACAGGAGAGCCTTTCGGCACCTGCCCCTGCCGCGGCTACAGTGCAGCAGCAGGGGAGCTTTTTCGGCGCCTGCCCCTGCCGCGCGTACAGAGGTGAGCAGCATATTACTTAACAATTCTTTTCCTAATCCTACTGCTAACCCTAGAACCTCCACCATGCCGATCATCTTCTTCAACTCCGTGAACCGGAGACGGCCGAGCGGCTTGGTGAGGACGTCCGCGAGTTGCCGACCAGTTTCGATGAACTCGATGACGATCTGCCCTCCATCGACATAGTCCCTGAGGAAGTGGAACTTGACGTCGATGTGCTTGCTCTGGTCGTGGAGAACCGGATTCTTCGCGAGGGCGACGGTGGGCTGGTTGTCCACCATCAGTGCTGGTCGATGAGTTTCCACACCGGTCAGCTCGCCCAGCAGCCGGCGCAGCCACACAGCTTGGCACGCCACTGTGGCCGCCGCCACGTACTCTGCCTCGCACGTGGATAGCGCCACCACCTTCTGTTTCAGCGACAGCCATGAGATTGGAGCCGACCCGAGGAAGACGAGCACGTCAGAGGTGCTCCGCCGTCCGTTGATTTCCCCCGCCATGTCTGCATCGCTGAACACAGTGAGCTGCAGCCTACTTCCGCCGGTATCTGGGAAGATGATCACCTGATCCACCGTCCCCTTGACGTAGCGCAGCAGCCGCTTCACCGCAGCCCAGTGATCCTCTCGGGGATCCTCCATCAAGCGGTTGACGTAGCCCACGACTAACGCAATGTCCGGCCTCGTGTGGACTAGGTAGCGCAGACCGTCGACGATGCTCTGGTAGAGTGTTGCATCTACCTTCGCCGTGGTACTGACCTTCGTCAGCTTCAGCCGGTCCTCCATCGGAGTCACGCACGGCTTGCACTCAGCCATGCCGCTCTGCTCTAACAGCTTCGAGGCGTACGCACTCTGACCAAGTGTGAGCGCCTCCTTCCCATGTCTCACCTCGATGCCGAGGTAATAGGAGAGCGCGCCGAGATCGCTCATTCGAAAACGAGCCGCCATCTCGCACTTGAAGTTGTCGATGTCCTTCGCACGCACACCGGTGACGATCAAGTCGTCCACATACACGCTGACGACGAGCTCCTCCTTCCCCCATCGCCGCGTGTAGAGCGCGTGCTCGGTTGCACACCGCGTGAACCCAAGCTCACCCAGCGTGGCGTCAAGCTTGGTGTTCCACGCTCGCGGGGCCTGCTGTGGCCCGTAGAGCACCTTGCGCCATTAGAGCACCCTGTGCTCCGCTCCCTTGACGGCGAAACCCAGAGATTGCCTGATGAAGACCGTCTCCGCCAGCTCGCCATTGAGGAAGGCCAATTTTACGTCCAGGTGATGGACGCGCCAGTCCTTCGCTGCTGCCAAAGCCAGCAACAGTCGGATAGACTCTATGCGCGCTACCGGCGCAAAGACTTCCTCGAAGTCGATGCCCTCGCGCTGGACAAAGCCTTCGGCGATGAGGCGCGCCTTGTGCTTGATAATGGCGTCACGCTCATCCCGCTTGACCTTGTACACCCACTTCAGGCCGATCGAACGGCATCCTGGAGGTGGATCGATGAGCTCGCAAGTCTCGTTTTCCTCGATTGCCTTTATCTCCTCCAGCATCGCCCGTCGCCAATTTGCATCGCGCTCGGCCAGCGCGAACGTAGGTGGTTCCTCTGCACTGACAAGAAGCAGCTCTGAGTCATTGAGCAGCCGACCCGCCAGGCCTGAGGACCCTGTGCCGTCGACGATGTCGTCCAGCCAGCGGAACCGCAACTCCTCACCGTCGTGGAAGGCATCCACGAACTCAGTGATGTCGCTTGGAGGTGAGGCAAACTCGATCGACGTCGATGGAGTCCCTTGTTCCACCGGAGTGGTCGACACAGCACCTGGAGTGCTCGGCACCCATGCTGCAGTGCTCGACACTACTCCTATACCGCTCGTCACCACTCTTGGAGTTGTCGGCACCACTGCAGGAGTGCTCGGCACCAGTCTTGAAGTGGTCGGCACCACTGCAAGATCTCTCGGCTCCGCTACGGGAGTGGTCAGCAGCATTGCAGGACCGCTCGTCACCCCTCCTGGAGTGCTCGGCACCCCTCCCGGAGTGCTCGGCACTGCCCCAGGAGTGCTCGGCTCTGTTGCTGGAGTGGTCGGCAGCTCCTCTCCAGCGTCTCCACCACCGTGGATGACCAAGTGCTCGACGACGAAGGTGCTGGTGAAGCCGCCAACTTCCCCCGTGCCCGGACTGTTCTAGTCCCAGGCCGCCTTCTCGTCGAACACGACATCGCGCGAGACAACCACCTTGCCTCCGCGTGGGTCATAGAGCCGGTACGCCTTGGTACCTTCCGCGTACTCCAGGAGCACCATCGGTGTGCTCCTGTCCTCCAGCTTGGTGAGGACCGGCTTTGTCTTCCTGACGTGACTAATGCAGCTGAATGTCTGGAGGAAGGACACGCTCGGCTTGCGCCCATACCAAGCTTCGAACGGCGTCTTGCCCTTCAGGGCCTTGGTGGGCGCGCGGTTGAGGATGAACACCGCCGTGGTCACCGCCTCACCCCAGAACCTTGTCGGCATGCTCTTGTCCTTCATCATGGATCGAGCCATGCTGACTACCGTCTGGTTCCGCCACTCCACCACACCATTTTGCTGTGGCGAGTACGACGCGGTGTGGTGTCGCACCACACCCTGATCCGCGCAGTACGCAGCGAAGAAGTGAATTCGCCGCCGCGATCAGTCCGCAGCACGCTCAGCTTCTTGCCGCTCTTCGCCTCCGCATGCGCCTTGAACTTTTTGATCGCCTTCGCCGCCTCGTCCTTGCTCGACAGGAGTTGCAGCCACATATAGCGACTGTAATCATCCACGAGCAGGAGGAAGTACCGCCGACCACCGTTTGTGGCTGGCGTGATTGGCTCGCAGAGATCTCCGTGGACGAGCTCGAGAGCGTCCGCTGCGCGATACTTGGCCGTCTTTGGGAACGACAGCCTCTTCTGCTTCCCGGCCAGGTAGTTGTCACACAGCTCACCTGCGTGCGACATCGCCATCAGGAGAGTGGCCTCATCATCATCATCATCATCAGCCTACGCTAAATGAGTCTCAGTCTTCTTCTCCTACTTGCGATTTGGGCACTCCTTTGTCCAATGGCCTGTCTTCCCACAGCGTCGGCAGGCGTTGGGGTCGACCTTCTTCTCCGAAAAAGCCTTGCCGCGACGCTTGCCATTGCCACCGCGGCTGGAGGAGGCTTCCCCGAAGTTCCTCCGGGCAGCCCACTCCTCCTCTGTCAGCAGCAGCTTGCCGCCGTCCGTCGTTGCTGTGGCCTGCTCCATGCGCTCGTCCACTGCCCGCAGACGGCCTGTCACATCCTTAATGGTGAGGGTGGACAAGTCCAGCATCGTCTCCATAGAGAGAGCGATCTGGATGTACTTCTTCGTCGATGGTGACGCCGTGGCTCCTCAGCTTGCTGATGAGCGACTGCAGGCGGAGGGAGAAGTTCTCCACCGATTCACTATCCTTGAACTAGAGGTTGGCGTATTCCTGCCTCAGCAGCTGGGCCGTCGCCTTCTTTGCGCGGTCGGAGCCGACGCGCATCGCTGTAATGGCCTCCCACGCCTCCTTAGCAGAGTTCTTCGCCCCCAACGACTCCCTGTACTCCGCTGGCACAGCAGCGAGGATAGCCTCCAACGCTGACATGTCGTCTTCTTCGTTGTCGGTGCCCTTGTCAATAGCATTCCAGAGCCGTCGGGCTCTGAGCTTGACCTTCATGGTCACCGCCCACTCGCCATAGTTGGTGCGAGTCAGCGTCGGCCAACTGGTGCCGCTGACCTCCCGCACCGTACGCACGATGACCTCCTGTCGTGGCTGGGCAGCCACAGTAGCGCCGCTGCTGTCGCCCATCTCCAAACCATCTGTCATCGCCAGCGGTTAGTCCGGCGACGGCGCTTGTACGGCTCCGATACCACTTGTTGGCACGGGTGAGCCGACCGCTCATCGTCGTTGCCGACCGGTCACTATGGCTAGAGGTAGAAGAAGGGAGGGAAAATAGAGCGCACACATACACAGCACAAGCACCAGCGTTGGCCGGAGCTCTGCAGAGGAGATGGCAAAACTGAACTCGCTCTCTTTACGGAGTTGCTCTGGAAAACTATAAATACAACTCTACCCATCTAATCCCAGTACACAGACATGTCAGGCTGCCATGCTGCTACAGTGACTAGATGTGACAGCAGGGCTGACTTTGGTGCATGCCCCTACTGTGGCTACAGTGCGGCAGGAGAGCCTTTCGGCGTCTGCCCCTACCGCGGCAACAGTGCAGCAGCAAGGGAGCCCTTTCGGCGCCTGCCCCTGCCGCGCGTACAGAGGTGAGCAGCAGATTACTTAACACAATTGGAATGTATATCTATTTCGTCGAGGATTTTTTATAGATCCATGAATCCACATGTTCTCTTTTTATTTTTGCAATGCGGCTTCTATTTTTACGTTATTTATGTGATTTGCTTTGGCCTCGCTGCAGGTTTACTGTCGTGGTGAAATGGATAATCCATGGTCTGATGGTGGTTTTGCGTCCAGGTGCTGTGTTAGATTAATGCATGAAGTAGTTTCAAAGTTTGATCCTAAGAAAAGAGAGCTTGTGAAGTCCACAGGGTTTGGGGGCATGTTACATTTCCCGCCTATGAGGCAGATTGATAGGAAGTTTGCTCTGCGGATTATGGGCTGTGTTGATGAGTCATCAGAAACAATAGTTGTTGGTGATCACATCAGAATCAAGTTCACTAAAGATGATATTCGGACTGTCTTTGGTATACCGAGTTGCGGGAAGAGAGTGTTAGATAATCGGATATCTAGTCGTGATGCAAAAAAACAAGGTAATACATGAGTACCTAGGGTGCCAGTTTAAGGAACAACGAAGTATAAAAGCTGTTCAGGAAATCATCGATCGTGCATACAGTGATCAAATGTCTAAGCAAGAAGAAGATGCTTTCAGGGTTGCATTTGTTGTCTTTGTCGTATCCACCCTCTTGTCCCCGTCAGCAAAACATGATTATGCATCTGTAGACTATTGGAACGCGCTGGAAGATCCCAGTTCAATAAGCAAATATGACTGGTCCGAATATGTAATGACCAGGTTGTTGGATGCAGTGACTAAGCTGAAGCAAGATGTTTCAAGTAGTATAAAATTCCCAATCATCACTGGTTGCTCATTGTTCTTACAGGTATTTCCATTTTATTTCTACCACTTTTTATAGTAGCCGCATTTGTACGTTTGGTAGGTTTTCTTACAGATATATGTTGTTTCAATTTGCTCAGGTATTATATCTAGACAGTATTGATCTTGGTGTGTTGTCCATGAAACTCATTTCCTAGAATAAGGGAGTTCTCATATGATAGGATGCGTGAAATGATTGCAGCCGAACAGAATAATTTTGCCAGACATGAATGGGGCAATGACAATACTCGTCATTGCAAGGTTCCCTTCAGCACTATTCTTTTTTATGACTTTGTTCATACTATTTATTCCTTCGTAGACGTTTCAGTTTCCTTTTGAAATAAAGAGACAATGGAACACACATGATTGATTGTGTTACTAATCCTGATTTTTTCTATGATGCCAGATCAGGGATGCAGTGTACTGTTGCTATCAATGGGCTGCATTGCCACAGCCAGAAAGCGATGGGTCCCGGAGCGGATGTTTGCTAGTTATTTGGGAGAGTTCAGTCGCCATGGCTCATCTGTTAAAGATCCCCATGGAGGTATTGCCATATTGTATTGTACTCAACTTTTTATTTCATTTCACTGCTACTCAAGCCCACTCCTATCTAGTTTCCCCTTGTTGTAGTCTTGTCCTAGCACTTATACAGCTGATTTTGCATACTCAGATACAATACTATATTTGTGCTTACTATTATCTTATTATGTTGAAATATTAATATGTACACGATCACCACCCAATCAGGCTGCCGGCCCTTTGTTCTTTGCTGCAGCAGACTTCCAGGATCAGATAAATTCTGGTCTGCGTGTATATAGCATCGAAGCTTTCAAGTTCATGACTGTTCTTGTGTCTATCATGCTGCCGTACACTAATGGATTTAGCTACCAATTCAGTATGGACGATGATGACAACAAGGCAGGTTAGTGTTATCACTTGCCCTTGTCATTTGCAATATTTCTGACAATTATTGCCTTCTCCATTGCGCATAAAACTTTCTGAATCCACCTGTATATTTTTTTTCCACACAGTAAAAAGCAATGCTATGTGCAATTCCCACATTCTTATATAAACATAGTACTGAATGTGAACGACTTTTTTTATTTTGTTTTTTAATAATTCTTCAATGACACGTCATGATGATGTTTTGATATTCTTTTCATTTGTTTTGTTCAGCTGAAGCAGGTCTCGCAAAATTTCCATTTACACTTTCAAATGGTCTTAGACATTTATCGGTTCCCATTCGAAATAGGACCAGACACTGTGGCAGGGGGAAGAGATCTCATTACTATAAGGGTTGTGGTCATGACTCCAATGTTTCACCGATTATGCGCAACAATTCGTTTGAGGCATCTACTTGTGAACAAGGCAGCCAAATGTTCCAACACACCAGTATTGGGGATTCCGAGCAAAGGCCCTTTAATTCTATTTCGTCTTCCCTTGATGGCATGTCACACAACCTTAATGTTGATCTACGCGTAGCAACCGAGATGAAGCAGTTCTATGCTTGGGTCAGAAGCGTTAAGTTGCCTTCAGGGATTGACCTTAATGCCTTTGACTGGGAGAATAGGCATGCATCTAATGCTTGTGTAGTATCACTTCCAAGCACATGTACCGAACCCCAAACCCCATGGGAACTTGGATATTCATGGGCTATTAACGAGGGTAATATCTCTACGACTCTGGAGAACCTATATCGTGTTAGAGATGATGACGAAGGGTATGGCACACTGCATAACTAATCCCTTTGATCAATTTCTGCACTTTCATCTAGTTGTTGCAATTTTATCAACCTATTGCAATTTGATCTATTGTATTTCATATTCTCGCCCTATCGCCTTTTATGCAGGCCATTCATTAGACACATGACCCCCAAGTACATAAGTGTGTCTGCTAGGGCTGTTCGTTCGCAGTTACTAGGGAAATATGAAATCGGAATGGATCTTTTTGATGTAATTATTCGGCGGATCAAACAGGATGATGATGTATTGTACTCATCCGTCACTAATCTGAGAGGGAGACATTTCTTTGAGTCTGATTTCATGGTATATGACTTTACACCTGTCATAATTTATTTTCACTACATCAAATGTATTCAAGATGTTTTGTATCTCTTTTCTATTGTGAATGTCTTGTGGGCTATATACCTTTTTCCTTCTTATTTTTTTGTCATGTTGAGAGCGTGTTTGTAGTATGGATACACAACTACATTATTTTCTTTTCATTTCCATCACTGTTGTTACGATCCACACATAACATTATTTTTGCCAGGCGTCGATCACAGCTGGCGTGTTTGATCTGACTAAGAGCAAGCTGTGTGATCAGCTCGTGGCTAGTTACACCCCATATGACCTAACCAAGTGCAAGCTTGTATGCCATACTATACATACATATAGATAGATACATGTGTTCACGTTTTGCTTGTCAATTATTAGTTTCACATTATCTCAAATTGCATGCACTTGTTTTTTTTCCCGCGCTGCTCCATAACAGTTGTTTTTCCCCACGCTGCTCCAACATCGATGGGTCTGCTATGCCTGGTGTTTGCATGACAATGTCATATCCGTATTTGATCCGAGCTATGGTGTCCCAGTACCCGACAGCAGGGTTGACACACTTGAACAGGTATGCTATATGCTCAAGATAGCTATGCATACAGTTGTTGGTCCAATGTTTCATGGCTGGACATCCGCCACTATGCGAATTATATCATGTCCCGACACAGCTTTAGCTGGGTGAGTGTGTTAGAAAGATCTTTATATTATGGATTGTCTCATTTTTAAAGAACGTTGTCTTACCAGATCTGCTTATTTGAAAACTATGCAGGTGGAATAGAACCGGTCTTATGTGCGCCCTTTTTTGCCGCTGTTTTGATGGTGTTGACCTTAATCCAAAACTCGAATCAGTAAGATCTGGTAGCTTCAAGTCATTTTGGCCATAAAACCACCTCCCCTCAGTATCTTGCAAGTTTATTTGGATCCCAATATGAATGTTTTTAGTATCGGTCAGTATCTTGTACTCAGGTGGCTTCTCTTTTTCTGCTCTATTGCAGGTCGACTTCGATGCGATCGCTTCTAAGCTGACCATTGATATCGTACAGCTTAAGGGCAATTCAGGCAAAGTCCCGCGATCACTGCTCCAGTAGAGGGGATTTCAACGACAGTCTGTTGCCTGTTTTTTCTTTTGAACGTGGACTAATGTGTGTGTGAGGAAACACGTGGGAGTTGTGTTGCATTTTCGTAGATAGAGTCCACAGCTGCAAGTTATGCTCTCCATCTACCCTTTCCCCACTTGGAACATGAGAAGAGTTGTCTGCAGTTTGGACATCTTTGGCTTCAGGTGTCACCATGAGCTCCACTGATCCATGCATAGACGTTGCACCATCAGCGCCATATGTCGACGTAACCCATCCGCCATAGATATATCCTTCCGCCGGCAGCCCCGCTTTGTCTTGCATATCGCGCATGCTCAGAGTCTCCTTCCACCATCGATTTCGACGGAGTAGCTTGCCGCACCATCGCCACGATACCCTCTGACTCTGCCTCGCCACGGCAGGCCGGTGGCCGATGGCCGCGCTTGCTTAGTCAGATCATTCTCACGCATCGCCCCTACTTCGCTTGCTCGCAGATGGTGTAGCCATGGGTCTCTCCCTAAGATCGCTTCTTTCCTCTGCAAATGTCTGCATCGTCCCCTCCATTGTTGATAGCATCCGTTGGCAGGAGATCGAAGAGGCCCTTCAGAGAGAGGCAAGTCTTCCGTCCTGAAATTCAGGTGCTCACAAGCCTGAACACGGCCATTAGCAGCGTCTCTGCTCTGAATGTATGTACGTCACGCGCAAGGGAACGCGAGAGTCACGCCTGAGGTCACCCGAGACGTGTGCTTGCTGGCCAGGATGATGACTGCCAACATGTACTTGTCAAAAATGGCGGATTTGATGTTCGAGGTACACAGACTGCGATTTGTCATCAGCCCAAGGGCATCACATAACATAAGCATTGCATCTCTGACTCACCCTGCTATCCTGTTCCCAATTCCCATGACGAACTTCTCCATCATGTGGCTGTGCAACAACGAGCTTCGAGCCCACGCCGACGAGCTGCACCGGCAGTCTTATACCACAATTGTCTGACGAACAGTGAAGCAGACCAGACAGACTCTTACCGTGGCTTCAGTATCTGCGGCAGAGTTTTGGAAACAGATTTCTCCACGAGAGCCCTACCAGATCGTGCTCGGCTACGTGAGGGACAGGCTGTACAACACCTGCAATCGTGCTCGGCAGATCTTGTCGCATGGTGTCTCCAACATTCCGGACGCTGCAGCGGTTCACGGCGGCAACGCTGGAGCATAGCATGAACCCGCCGGTGTCGCCGAAGCCCGAGTGGCGGTGCCTGCTCGACGACATGGCGGCGGTGTCCACCGAGGAGTACCGATCCATCGTTTTCCAGGAGCCGAGATTCGTGGAGTACTTCCGGTCCGCGGACGCCGGAGACGGAGGGCGGATGAACATCGGCAGCCGGCCGTCGAAGCGCAAGCCCGGCGGCGGCGGCGGCGGAATCGAGTCGCTGCGCGCCATCCCGTGGATCGTCGCGTGGACGCAGACTAGTACGAGTTCCGGAGTACGACCCTGGGCTGCTCATCCCACCATGAAGTGCATCGCTGCGGCATGCAGAACCCCGGCTCACTGCGCGCAGCGGCGTCGCCGGTTTCCGATCTTGTAGGCCGTGTAGGAGTGTGTATTCTTGTGCAGGTAAGCTGTGATTTGCAAGCTTTCTTCTGAATAAATAAATAAATAAAAAGGATGGTTAAAATGTGGAGAAGTAACTCAGTTCGATGGATGAGGAGTGCTTGACAATTGACATGCGTTGGTCATGACTTTCGGTGTTGCATAAACATGTTCCATTTTGAGTAATGACGCTGAGGCCTTAAGACAAGTAGACAACTGTTGCTGGCTTTGCCACACCCAGAGGCCCGGATTAATCCTTAACCACGGGCTTGACCTTCTGCTTTACCAAACACCTGAAAAATTACGAGCAACAGCACATTAGGCCTTAAAGCGCATCATAATCATGAATCAGCAGGATGCAATGCGATGCCTATTAGAAGCTAAGAAATTCAATATAAGCAACAACATGTTAGCAATTGAAGTAAAAGCCAAGTTTGAAAAAGACAAGCACGAGCGAACAAACTTGTAATTTTTTAAGATATAATAAAACTTTTATTTAGCATATATTAATAAGAACAGAATTGACATAGTTTATGAGAAAATCCTGTCAAAAAGAAGAAAAAAACATACAACTACTATCTACAACTACGCCATGCATCTCTACCTATAACTATCAATAGATGATGAAACTCGTCAACTCTTAGAGCATCTCAAAGAGTCTTTCTAAAACTCACTCTCTAAATCATCATTTACAGAGTCATTTGCATAAAAATCGCTTTATACATCTTTTCATTTTTCAACAATTTTTCTATATCCTGTGCCCACTCCACAAAGCCATTCTCGCTATCTTGGCTAGATAGAAATTTAGAATAGAGGACGACTGTATTTAGATAACCAATTAAAGAACATGTTGGAGGGTGTGTTTTTTTTCACCAAAATTTCTACTGCTAACAATTAGGAAGGATATAAAGAGTCTGTTGGAGTTGCTCTTAGCATTGTCAATCTTGCCAGTTGAAATGTAGGTACACCTTGGGTCTGATTTCACGAGACAAAACTCAACCGTGTACAAGCTACCACCAAATCCAAAAACAACCAGAAAAGATGAAAACTACCACCAAGGTTATCTTTGCTAACCACCACCAATAACCAAGCATGGCATCGAGCCATTGCTGCAGAGCTCGCCGTCACATCAATGTAGCAGCTCTGACTTCCTATAGATCGCAAATGGCGCCATTGTCGGTAGATGGACGCTGAACATGATACTAGATTCCCACGACGGCGCCTTCAAAAGGGTCAGAATGTTAGATGAGCCATCGTGGCCTGCCCATGAATGGGTAGGGTTCTCACATGAAGAAAACCGATAAGCTAGGATATGATGGGTAGGCCTCGTTTGGCTAGGCTCCGCCCAACTCCGACGCTACGGTGCTACTGTCATGGAGTCGAGAAAGCCCTAATATATTAATTTTGAGGGCTTATCCTTTTGTCTCCTTTGTTTGAAAGGAGCCGAAGAACTTTGCACAACGGAGCATACCGAAATAGGCCGGAGCCACCGAGAGCCATGCCAAATGAGTTTTTTTTCCCGAAATTACCACAAGTGCTAACGGTCATTCTATTACCATGCATGTGTGTCGCTTTTTTGTGGTCACCCTTCTCCAACGCGCCTCCGTGGCTTGTAGTCCTAGCCCCCACCTCTGCAGAAATCATCCATGTCATCTCGAAAAGCGGCTTCGCAGCATGTCATCACATCTTGCAGAGGATGCGAATGCTTCCAATGACAAAAAGTGCAAGCCACTGCTTTTGGAAGAAAAGCTAAGACTGATTATGAGAGAGCAAAGGCAGCCAGCGGGTGTCTGCATAGAGAGAGAAATGGTGATATCAGCAACAGATAAAGTGACTAGCCTGTGATATAGAGAAGACAGCTTAAAAGCTTCCTGCATATGGGCTGCCCTAAGCAGAAAAATCCTTCGCTAGGAGAAACTTAAAAGCTTCTTGGATGTTCGAAGTGTGAAGTGACTACTGAAGTCCAATGCTACCATTGCTTATGATCGAAGTATTCCACTTTTAACCAAAACTAGATGGATGCAAGTTTTCAAATGGAAATAGCCAAAAAGTGGAGGGAGTGACCGAGGCACGAAGGACTTTTTCCTTAAAAAAGAGTAAAAGCTACTCAGGACCCATCTGTAATTATGCTTTCCTTCGCGCGAGCAAAGAGGGGAGGGCAAACACGCACGCACTAGACCCAAATCCCCGTAGCTTCAAACATCCAGAATCTTCTAGACCAAACCTTCAACCCATCGCCTCGGGCTCCGGCCATGTCGCTCTCGTCGGCGCGCCAGCGTCGTGCCACGGCGGCGTCGCCACCGACAGACGACGGGTACGCCAAGGACTCCAAGGACAGGAGGCGGCGGCCCGGCGGCGACGGGGACGGCGAGGACGAGGGTATCAAGTGGTTCCTCCCGTTCCTGGCGCTCGGGCTCCTCCGCCACATGAGCGCGTCCTCCAACCTGATCCATGACTGCGACGAGGTCTTCAACTACTGGGAGCCCCTCCACTTCCTCCTGTACGGCTCCGGCTTCCAGACCTGGGAGTACAGGTAACCTATCCGACCTCACCCCCATAAATGATAAACCCTACCTGTGTCAGCCATTCCCGCCGCTTGATACTCCTGTGCGTATTGGAAGGGGATGGATGTTTGGACCTGTGCTCTGATTTGGAGTAGGAGAGGGTTTCTGCCCTTAGCTTGGGCAAGCAATAGTGATTGGTTGGGGGGGGTGTGAAGATCTACACCGTTATTAGCAGTGTTTTGCTTTAGGTTGTAGGTTACACGCAGGGTGGCTTGGCTTGGGAGTATGTTGTAGGTTTATTAGCGGAATGATTTGAATGTTTAGCGGCTTATTTGGAAACATTGCTTATCCCCCTTCAGTCCATAAGCATTGGGAGGTATTGAGGTGGAAACTTAGTTCATTTTCCACTCCAATCCACATGGATCGGGAGGAATTCAGTATAGCCAAACAAGTCTTAAGGTGAAAAACACTCACACTCTGTTATGATTTTGATGGATTGGTGAAACAGTGGGAGTGTCTCTGTTGCTGGTGTATGACTGTTTTTTTTCCTTGGGGAATGGGGGTGGGTGATGATGGTGAGGTTTGGGGCTGGACAAGTTTACAATGCGAGTGTTCTAAAAATTAAGGTAGGTTATTAACATTTGTATCTGTTTTGTTTACAATCAAGCAGTGGCAGAGTTACGAGTAGGACAAAGTGCCCCCTTCCTGCAATTGAATTTTCTTAATGATGTCAATAATTGATGCTTAGGAAGTTATAGAGATTTGCACACCAGAGACAACTTCAGTACTATTGCCCGCACTGCAATCAAGGTCGTTAATTGTTTCAAAGTAGGCTGCCTGGCCTGCCTAGGCTCCACCGTACTGCCTTGCTTCTGATTGCCACCTACCTATCTCTCTGCATGCCATTGTTTAGAACAGTCAGAGTCACAGTTGGTGCAATTGTACCATGACGACTTAAATTTGGATTGAGCTACCATAGATTATTTATTTCATCATGTCATTTATGCTAGTATATACTGTCATAATATTATATATAGTAATGATATTTCATTGTGGAAGTTTTTTCTGTGTTTGACATTCAGATACTCTGTATCCCGTTTGAGTTTCTGCTGGAAACCATGTATTATGATATTCAGTAACATTTCTAGGAGTAACGAGGCTCGTTTTAGTTCTCGCCAATATGGGGATTGCTGTATTATTGTGGTTTGGATTGGAAGAGTGATATAACTATATATAACACAGCTGCGTGTCTTCTGTAACTGTTGCTGAAACTATTTTTCAAATTAATAAGTATGCTTTGTCCCCCCCCCCCTACATCTTAGGACTAAGCGGTTTATTCTATATGCTTAGCTACCTTATGTTGAATGTTGGCCTAGGCTTTTAGTTCCAAATTGATTCAGCTTGCAAGTATTGCTACGATAGCATCTTGATTTGATGTTTTCTTCATAGCATCCTGGAAGACTCCAGCCTTTTAGGGAAACCAAACCCATTAAATAACATAATTTGTCTGCAATGATTTTTTTGTATATTATGTTCTGCATGGCACAAGAGGTTAGTAAATAGGACATCGATTTTAACTTGGGACTAAAAAGGCTTTGTTGTTTGATTTTGACTTTCTGCAAAAATGTCTATTGCAGTTCCGACTTTGCTCTTCGGTCATATTTGTACCTTTTCTTTCATGCTCTTGTAGCTGGGCCTGCTTCACTAATCTTTGGTGAGCATAAGGTTCGTAGTCTCTTACTCCTTTGGTTTCTTGACATCCTTATATGCTGGCTATCTCTTTACCCATTTGTGCTTACTAATGATATCTCATCTATTCTCCTGTGAAGGTTCGTGTGTTCTACTCAGTGAGAATCTTTCTTGGTCTCATTTCAACTATTACCGAAACTGTTCTGGTGGTTGCTCTTTCAAGAAGATATGGGAAGCGACTTGCTTGTTATGTTCTTGCAATGCTATGCTTATCCAGCGGTTGCTTCTTTGCCAGTACCAGTATGTATCTTTGTAAATTCAGTTTTCTGCTGTTGTTTGGAAATTACATTGCAGATGTGTGGTTGCTCCAACTGGGTGCTACCTTAATTATATTTATACTCTATTCCAGGTTTCTTGCCAAGTTCATTCTCCATGTATGCAGTAACACTTTCGTCTGCACTCTTCCTTCTTGAGAAATATGCTGGTGCAGTCTCAGTTGCAGCTGCTGGAGTGATCCTTGGTTGGCCTTTCTCAATTTTGGTTTTCCTCCCTGTTACTGTTTATTCTCTAATCAGAGGATCTTTTAGAAGGGTTTTTCTATCTGGATTTTTTACTTCACTGTGCTTTCTTGTAAGTAAATCCCTCACAAATTCACTGTTTTACAATATGTATGAGTTTGACTGATCATGGCAAGTTTATGCTAGGTTCTTTCGTTTGTTGCTGATTACTACTGCTATGGTCGATTGACATTCTCGGTGTTCAATCTTCTGAAATATAACGTTCTTGGTGGTGGCGAAAGTCACTTGTATGGAACCGAGGGGCTTTCATTTTACTTCAGGAATGGATTCAATAATTTCAATTTTGCCTTCATCCTGGTTCTTCTTTTCTTGGGGGTTGTACCATTTGCTAGAAAGAAATATGCTCCTGATCTGCTGATAGTTGTCTCTCCTGTCTATATCTGGTTGGCTTTCATGTCTTTGCAGGCACACAAAGAAGAAAGGTATGAAGCAATTTCGCAATATGCACATGTGATCAGTTGAACACTCGAACATGCAATATAATATAGGAAAAAGTCTTCTTTTGATCTTTTCTGCCGAACATCTTCACGCATGAAGATTATGTAGAGGCTAGAAATGTTATTTCTCTTTGCCTATGAACCTAGCATATGATTAAATACTTGCATCTAGTTGACATTATCTCTCTGGTCTCCCTTATACTCCATTATTTCCCTCAACTAACCAGTTTGATTTTTTTTATATTAGACTTTAAACACAAATATAAGGCGCCCTGTATTTTGTTTTAACCTACATTTTCTAAGTCGCTGTTTTGTTTAGCTTACTTGTATTGCTGCTGGCAAGTTTCACTTATAAATTGAATTCACAGCATTTCTAATAGGATAGCCTTGAAATCCACTTAAATTAGACTAAATTACAACCAAATCAGCCATGTATCCTTTGCACTATGTTGCAACCATTTTGACTAGTTATTGCTACCGAATAATGCTAAGAGTAATGGCCAGGTTTTCTGTTGTCCTCACCATTATCTGAAAATAGTAGTGTTGTAATAGGGTATGAAAAGAATAACAACTCGCTTTTGAAGAATCTTTCCTTGTGTACAGATGGAACATACTGATGCTGACTGGCCTTATCTGTTTGTGCAGGTTTCTCTATCCAATTTATACATTGATATGTGTTGCTGCTGCAGCTGTTATTGATAGCTTACCTGATTTTTTCCATGACAAATATTCATCTGACCAGTCTATTTTTGAAAAGGTTAGCTTGGAGACTTGAATGACATTTACACCTTCTTGTTTATTAATTGGGAATGGTTGTAAAATTGTTTCATAATGCTTGTGACAGATAGCGAAGGGTCTGCGTCCTTTGATCCTTGGTTTTATTTTGTGTGCTTCCCACAGCCGAACATTTTCCATGTTAAATGGATATGGTGCTCCCCTGCAGATCTATCAGCATCTAGAACATCATGACGACACTGGGCCCGGTAATGCTCTACAATCTATACCTGTCATGGCAGTTGATTATGTTCTTGCTTAGTATGTTATAGGATTACACCTGTAATGCCAGACATGCCCGAGACCCAGAGTACTGTCTTGTGTCATTGATTGCGTTTTTCTTGTTAAGGTACTTATATATAAATAAACGAAGATGCAAAATTGACTTAAACAGATATACCATCAGAAAGAATGATGCTTGAAGGTATTGTTGGTAGCTAAATTTGTGTACCTGTCTGTTTACAGGGTCTATTCTCTGTGTTGGAAGTGAGTGGCATCGCTATCCATCATCATTCTTCATACCCTCCTATATCAGTGAAGTCCGGTGGATAGATGATGGCTTCCGTGGGTTACTTCCATTTCCCTTCAACGAGACCCTGGGTGGAACCACTGCAGCTCCATCATACTTCAATAACAAGAACAAGGCGGCTGAAGGGCAATATGTAGTTTCCTTTCTTACTGAACTTCAACAATACAATCTTCTAATAATACACTGAGTGCAACCTGTTGTTATTTTTCGGTGCAGCTTAAAGACATCGGAGCATGTACCTTACTGGTGGAACTTGACCTAAGACGGCCTTATCCCTCACGTGGGAGTGACTTGTCAACGTGGGAGGTAGATTAACACACATAATCCGAATATAAACGCACATGTATTTTCACAATCTGACAACTCTTTGCAAACTGCAGGCATTGGCCGCACTACAGTTCCTGGACAGAGAGCTTTCCCCTGCATTATACCGGTCCTTCTTTATACCATACCGATGGCAACAAAACAACGTGTTCGGCCTGTACAAGCTACTGAGGAGGTTGCATCCTGACCATGCGTGATCAAGAGACGTGTGGGGTTTGCTTCAATGAGCTTAATCACGTGATTTCTTTTAACAAACAGCTTGCTAAATTTGACTGCTATAGATTTTCTGATCCGAATGGGTTTTCCTATTGGGTAATGGCGAAACCGTTTTTCTCCCACTCATCGTACCATACAATACAGAACGAGATTACGAGGTGTATAACTGAATTAGCCCCTTGACGAGGATGAGAGATCTGTACTGCTGATGTAGTGATGTTCGAGGAGAATCATGTTGCGGGCGCTGGTCAGTTGTGTTCTGGAACTGCTGTTTTTGCCAGTTGTAATTTGTTTGGATTGTTTGTTGAATCAAGGCCAATGACAGACTGATGGATTAGCGATTAATTCATGAGAACCAGCATCATTGAGATTTATACTTTTTCTTATTATATTGAGTTTTTTGCTACGGTAAAATGCCTCAAGCCCAGGTCAGAGGTACAGGTCGTTCTACAAATATGCTCTGCAGTGTAACCAAGACCTGGTGAATGGGCCAACGGGCACGACACGGTCCCGGTCCAGGGACGGAAAGGGCACGGGCGCACGGCCCATCCTAGCAACCGTCTCCCTCGCGGTTTTCTTGGAAATCGTTGCCAGTCTCAGTAGGAGATTTTATAGTTTTCAAGACATGACACCGAGAATAAAACAGGGTTCATTTCACTGTTTCATAGACTAGTTTTAGCATTTAATCCTTGCACTGTGTTGTGATAAAATGCGCCGTATTACTATGTAGCCATGTGATGTTGTTGTGCTTTCATGTGTGTGTGTGTGTATAGCTGAATATATCAGTTTTCACACGTAAAAAATGACAGCACTCACTCAGGCACTAGGTAACTGACTTCACACAAAAAAAATGCAGCATTCACACATGCACTACGTATCCATATTCAGTTTCACACCGAAAAATTGCAGCATTCACACATGCAAAATGTAGCAGATAAGAAACAGTTAATCACAGCAGCAGAATGTGTACAGGGCTTCATGTTGATAGCAAACAGCATTCCTGCAGAAAACAAAAGTAATTCAGGGTCTGAAGGTAAATGACAGAAATTGTTAATGTTCTCACCAAAGATGACACTAAAAAAGTCTGGCAAGAACTGTTACTTAATGTCAAGGGCGTTGGCACCCAAGGTAGGAGGGCCTTGGCTCCTCAGTTCATAGCCAAGGCCAGGTAATGGTGCTAGGGTTTTTGCCTGGTCGACCAAGGTAGAAGGAGGTGAGATTAAGAGTTGAAGAGATAGGACTGAGTCTGGAGTGATTCATTCAAAACAGGTTACAGCATATAAATAGAGGTGCCCAGCCTCTGGCTGGCGCCCAGCCCCTTGGCTCCTCAATTCTCTCATTCTCATTAACTCTAATCCTTCAACCAACTCACTAATTGTCATTAACTACAGGCGGCTGCTGTGTCTGCAGCCCCTTGGATACCGCCCTGGCTCTATCTCGAGCCCTGGGACGCCTCTCGTATTGCCGCCCCCACATCATATCTCTCCCTCCCTCGACGAGCAGCTCATCCTCGAGCTGAAAGCTTGGACAGCGGTCGATGAAGCTGTCGACGTCCTCCCAAGTGGCCGAAGCTGCAGGCTCGCCTTGCTAATGGACCAGCACCTGGCACACGCCTCTAGCCAGGCGAGTACGGGTGGCGTGCTCAGGCACAGGCTGCGTTGCGCCATGGTGTGTGGGTGGCAGAGCTGGAGGCGCTGCTGGTGGAGTCCCCACGAACTTCTTCAGGAGCTCGACATGGAAGACGTCATGCAGCCAGGTGCGGGGAGGAAGTTCGAGGAGGTAGGCGACGTCGTTGATGTGGCAGAACCGCCTAATCTAATGCCTCCTAAGAATACTTGTCTTCCATTAGACACTAAGTACTCAAGAAAGGACACTAAACTACGCAGTTCCGTCGAGCACACCCTAAGGGAGAACTCGAAAATCCATATTTTTTCATCAGGATCATAAATGAGAGAATACAGCTTACAACATTTTAAAGGCATTTCTTACGTCACTTTATTACAGTAACAGAATATTACCTCAATTGATTATAACAGCGGAATATAACAATGTTACCAGAGTTATAGAGGAAACAAAGATTAATTTAATGACATGGTGGAGCATTAACATGGTGAACATTTTTATACAAGAGATGCTAGTAGATTTTACATCTTTTCTTATAAAAACCTTTAGTAAGGGTTATAAATAAACACTACGGTCGTAGCGTGAAAGAAATCCTCTCTGAGCCCACTAGGAGATTTCCACACACAAGAGTCAGATCTACGTATCCTCCGGTCACCTGCAACAGGGAAAATAAAACTATGAGTACTCGATTGTACTCAGCAAGACTTACCCGACAGGAGAAAAACAAAAGATTCCAAGGATATGCAAGGCTTATTTGGTTTGTGGGTCATTGCATCTGCGGAAGCATTACTAAACGTGTGTCCTTATAGTCAATTTTATTATTAGTCATCATTAGTTCATTAACTAACCATTCTATGTAAGCACATATGCTACTTTCAAGCAGGTGGTGAGCAATTAGAACCATTTTACCATCTTTCATATTCCAGTTCTTACTACGGTGCTAGACTATAGCCAAATCGTACCGTCTCACGGAAACGATGATTCGTGAATCAATGTATCCCAGCTGGGTACCCCGAAACACACGCCCCGTTTGTACTCCAAGCACAAACAAGACCAACCCATTCCACTCCTGTCACAAGGTCCAGGTCCCCGTCCAAACTTAAACTCCAAGCCCCCACACTTGAGACCCAGTCTCATTATGGTGCTTAGACCTCCACCTTTCACCGCCTCCAATCAGTCGGTCCGAAAATAGCCGGAACCCATGACAAGAGTGTAACGAGCCTTCCCGCTCCTATAAGCAAGTATGTGCTCAGGATAATAAGTCTGTGACCTGACTATTATCCACAGCATCGGACGGTCCTCAATCGACGCAGGCGAAACAAGTGCAATCCGAGCCTCGCTCGAATGCCTAACCAAGTCTAGATCCAAAGTACCATTCCGCCTAGTCTCCAATTATCATTCATATATATTTCATGTGATAGTAATGTAATAACAACAATACTATTTTTTCTATCTCTCACGAGTGACAGGTAATCACTCGACTTCTATTGGATCCTATAGCATAGCAATCTACACGATTCTGACATACTAGTAGGACTCATAGGATAAGGATATATATATATGCAAGTGGGTTTCATTCAACTCCTTAAAACTTAATACACAAGCATAAAATAAAGTTCAAAATAATAGGGGTTATGCACCGGGGTTTGCTTGGGCAAGATATAACCAAGGATTAACATTCCATCGGGCGACACGATCATCAAGGCACCATCTTTTCCGCTACTTCAGTCGACTCCATGATCCATCGTTATTCCTATTATGATATACGTGGATGCAACGCATAGACGTAAATAATCAACGACAACCGAAACTCTTAGAAATACGATTACGCTTCGCAAGCTAACGAGATAGCTCTAACGTGCTAGGTTACGTATCCATGTTATCGAATAAGGTGTTTCCAACAAGTATTTTAGTTCTACAATCCCAAGGTGTTTCGGTATTTTATTGATTAAATATATATTTTCAAACTATGACTCATTTAGCTATCTTAGCAAACTAATTATTATGGAGCTACAAAAATTACAGTGAGCACTAATAATGTTAGAAATTTATTGTGAAAGTTTGAGAGCCAACACTATCACCAATTTATCGCAACAATTCCTACAAGTTTATATCTTACAATATTAAGCATCTTAAATTAATTAGATAACTCCTGGAAATATTATAAAACTATGTGAACAAAATATACTAGCAGATAGATCATGATTTTAGGAACTTAACAAAATTAGTTTCACAATTTTTGGTTAACTACACAATTTTATATTGAATTTACAAGTTTACCTTAGAAACTAAATTAGAAAATGCATTAGAAAAAAGGAAAGGGCCGACAGCAACTCCTTCTGGCCCGATAGCCCAGCGCAGCGTGGCTATGCGCGCGGCGCGGCGGCCCAGTATGGCCCAAGGCCGGGGGCGCCCGCGCGCGTGGCTGTTTTGCAGAAAGGCCTCGAGCTTTCAGAGATTAATACGACTGCTATGCGCACTATTCCTACTGTAAGTAACTTTGCAACCAAACCCTCGGATATTTTCACCTTTACCACGGGGAGATCCCTGGAAACCCGACGCGCACCGACAGGGCGGCCGACGGCATAAGGCAGCTACGCCGGGCAACCTAGGCTCGCTTCGACGGGAGTAAGGAGCCGACCACCATCTACAGCTAAACGCGCAAGGATGGGTGGCGGTTAGGAACTTAGAGGTGCACTGTCGCAGGCTGCAACGACGAGCGACTATCTGGCAGCCTAAGATGCTATCGGGGTGGTAGAGATAGCGGATAAGCACCTGTAGCTCACTGGAATTCGCGCTGCGGTGGCGATTGAGGCGGAGGAGTGCCGAGGTGGCTTGGCCACGTGCGCGCAGTGATATCGCCGACGCTCCAAGGTTGACACAGACGCGTCAGGTCCTCACTCGCATCGTTCCTAGTCAAACGAAGATGAGCAACAGCACGAGGGGACCAAGGTGAGATCATAGGAACAATTAGTTGAACCCCTACTGAGGGGTAGGGCCTTACCCCCAAGTCATGCTCTGTTTCAGAGGCGTGATGACCGGCAGCCGCAAAAACACTAATTTTGTCCGCACCGAGGAGCGGCAAAGCCTCGAAAGGGGTCGCCTGGCTAGTCGACTCCCTAGGCCACTTGCTGGTGCAAGGAATTGAACTGCGAAGCTCCGAGTTAAGTGAATCGAGAGGCATAGCGCGCGGTGCACCCACAATGGTCATGTCGTGGAGAAAAGCATGCGAATGAGCTCGAGCGGTAGGGCGTGTTAAAGCGGGGCTCCGATCAACGGTGGCAGAGCGAGCTCGTGCACACAGGTGATGAGACCAGGCGACTTGGCGCGATGCGCTTGAATTGGAGCGGCCAAACCC